ATGGCCAGAGGGGCCATATAGATGGCGCGATATGGCAGCCTCGCCTCTATCAGTCTGCCCCAGGGCAGCTGTGGCTACAACTGTAGCTGCATCCACCAGTGTGTGAATGAATAGTGGAATTGTAAAGCACTTTGGGTGCCTTGAAAAGCGCTATATAAATCCAATCCATTGTTATTAAAGCACTACTGGATGGATGCAAACTGCATTTCATTGCCTTGTACTTGTGACATGTGCGATGACAATAAAGTTGAATTCTATTCTAAAAAGGTGTTGTCATTTCAGAGGTTTAATTTTATGCACATTACAATAAATATGCCTCAGTATTTGAAATTTAAAATAATGAAAACTGGATATTTTCCCTCTGTTTCCCTCCTCGATGCTCATCATCTTGTTTCTGAGAGCATGCCGCTCACCAGGTCATTAATGCACTTCAAGGATCCTTGTTAGCAAGACACTATTAACGAGCCCTTGACTCTGCACCCTAGCATACCTATTACAATCTCCTCATTCATTTTCAGTAGCAGATTTCTCTGTAACACAACTGATGTATGAAGGAAATAAGTGGATGAGGTTGTTATCAGCATCTCTCATCTGCAGACAGTAGTTGAAAACATTAAAAAAAAGTTAGAAAGAATATCTGAACAAAATCTTTCAATCATTCCATTTCAAAACAGAATATTCACCCAAACAAATACAATGAAAATAACTTCTTCCTTTCACATATGTAGGACTTGATTTACTTCATTAGTTTAGTTGGCATGTTCTTAGCTAATTAGGAACATAATGAACCACTGGATTAAAGCTATTTACTCATTTCACATAATTTATAAGTCTTTTACAGGCACTTTGAAATACTGTTGTTGGATGATTAAATATTGTCTTCTAACTATCCCTTGCTCTGATTTTAACACCAGAGGTCATCGTGCTTTTGAGGTTGTTACCCCAAACTCTGGGAAGCCTTCCTCAAGTCAATCAGGTCGGCTGACTCTGTTATTTCTTTTAAGCCATTTTTATAGGTTAGTATTTCCTTAATCTTTTTAGCTTCATTTTTTCACCATAGTTTGCAACCATGCATGCATGTACAGTGGCTTGCAAAAGTATTCGGCCCCCTTGAACTTTCCCACATTTTGTCACATTACAGCCACAAACATGAATCAATGTTATTGTAATTCCAGGTGAAAGACCAACACATAGTGGTGCACACGTGAGAAGTGGAACGAAAATCAGACATGATTCCAAACATTTTTTACAAATAAATAACTGCAAAATGGGGTGTGCGTAATAGAGATTGAAACTGTGATGTCATTCAGGGGTAAAACCGCAAAGGATTCTGGGAACTTTTGCAAGCCACTGTATGTGTGTATCTTGGAATGAATGACTGATTATGTGTCTGTATGTTTTAACAACTACACTTATCTTCAATGTGTGACTTATGCATATCACTTGTATATAGAATTTACTTAGATTAAGGGGTTAAGTGGGCTGAACAATCTGGAATCTGACACCTTCAATTAAAATAAATCTGATAGGGAGGTTAACGCGTATTGCTGCTGACTGAGTGCAGAAGTCTGGCATTGATACCAGTAATGAGAAAGTAATTACATCCAATGGTCCATTTGCATCCTCAAAAAATTCCTCTTTTCCTACCATCCCTGTAATACATTCATAGTACAGATGTATAAAGTTGTGATCTTGGCATTTTCACATCTAGCTAGATCAACACAAATTATTTCTATCCAGTTTGTTCGAAACTGCTTTTAGCTAAAGTAAAGTTGCAGAATGCCAGGAAGAGAAAAGAAAACATGCTAAGTTGATGGAAAAATCCGTGAGATCAATCCCTTGAAAATTCAGCCAGCAGGTGGAAACGCTTGCCGCTGAAAATGCCACGCTACGGGAGTCGGTTAAATCTCTCACCGATAACGTGACCCAGCTAAACATTGAAAATAAAAAAATAAAAGAGTCCGTTATCGATCTACAAGCCCGTAGCATGAGAGATAATCTTGTGTTTTCTGGTATTCCAGAAACTGCCGGAGAGGACGCAGAGGCAACGGTGAAAAACTTCATTAAAATCCACCTGAAGCTGCCGGAGGACACCGTAAAGAACATCGACTTCGATAGAGTACATCGCTTGGGGGGCGCGCGGTCGCGGACCGGGAGACCACGGCCTATTGTGGCCAAATTCAGTCAATTCAAACAGAAGGAACAGGTGAAGAGTCGCGGCAGAGAGCTGAAAGGAACGGACTTCAGCGTGAACGACCAGTTCCCCAAAGAGATCCTGGAACGACGCAAGGTCCTGTTCCCAGTTCGACGTAGCTTCATCCAGAAAGGCTCCCGTGCTGTCATCGCCGTGGACCGGCTCTACGTGGACGGACAGCTTTACCGCGACCCGGCACCACACCGTGGTTATATTAACTGCACTCCAGATAAGAACCCGCTACACTCTTTTCTTATTCATTCACACTCTCTCCTTTAACATGAGTTTAAGCTAGTAATATCAATATGATGTCATAGCAGATATAACACCGTCACCCTCCGTCATTGCTTTATGTTACGCAGTGAGGGGTGGTGAGGGAAACATCAGACTTCACTCTATCTTAATTAAAGTAATTGTTTTATTATCTCTTGCCAACATCATATACATGCAGACAGCAACTTTTCAAAATGGCTCCCAATCCATTTCCTGCTCCCTTTAAATACTCTAAAGACACACCTTCTTAATACAGACTGGCCTATAAAAGAGCTGCAATTGAGGCAGGCTTCCTCTTTACTGGGAAAACAAGATGGCCACCACAAAGGTAACCTGCAACACTTTGTTACTCAAATGCTTCCCAACATTACTCACTACCCCCCCCTTCTGGTCGACACATCTCCGGCAAACGGGAAAGATAGTCAGCAATAAGATTGTTCTTACCCGGACAATGCTGGACGGTGAACTGGTATGGCTGGAGGGCTAGGCACCAGCGCAGTATCCTCGCATTCTGATGTTGCTTGGAGTGCATCCACACCAGGGATCGGTGATCCGTCTGAAGAATAAATTCTCTTCCAAGGAGATAATATTTCAACGAATCAATTGCCCACTTAATTGCCAGTCCTTCTTTCTCTACTGTAGAATAGTTTTTTTCCCTGTCAAATAGCTTCTTACTTAAGAAAAGCACAGGTTTTTCTTCACCAGCTTCTCCTTGAGCCAGCACTGCTCCAAGTCCAACATTAGAGGCATCTACCTGTACAACAAATGGTTTGGAAAAATCCGGGCTTTGCAAAACAGGGGCTTCAGAAATCTGTCTCTTTAAACATTGGAAGGCATGTTCACAGTCGTCATTCCACATCACTTTAGAAGCATGTTTTCTCGTGAGATCTGTAAGAGGGGCTGCCAAGGTTGAGAAATGGGGAATAAACCTCCGATACCAGCCAACCAAGCCCAGAAACGACCTCACTTGCTTTTTGGTTTTAGGTCTGGGAATTGTTTGTATAGCCTTTACCTTTTCAACTTGTGGCTTTATTTGTCCATGGCCAACAATGTATCCTAGATACCTCACCTCTTCTTGTGCCCAGGCACACTTGCTCACATTCAGAGTCAAACCAGCCTCCTGGATCTTTGCCAACACAACCTTTAGATGCTGCAGGTGTTCCTCCCAAGACTCACTGTAAATCACCACATCATCCAGGTAGGCAGCTGCAAACTTTGAACAACCATTAAGGATAATGTCCATCAACCTTTGAAAAGTTGCAGGTGCCCCATGAAGACCAAAGGGCAACACGGTGTACTGAAATAAGCCCATTCCTGGAATTTGGAAGGCTGTGTATTCTTTACAGGACGGCTCTAAGGGCACTTGCCAGTAACCCTTACACAAATCTAAGGTTGTAATGTATCTAGCCTTTCCTAGTCTTTCCAGTAGCTCATCAATCCGTGGCATTGGATACGAATCAAAACAGGAAATACTATTTAGCTTTCTCATGTCTGAACAAAATCGTAGTTGAGGGGAGTCTTTCTTTGGAACAAGTACAATGGGGTTTGACCACTCACTCCTTGAGGGCTCAATCACTCCCAGTTCCAGCATCATCTGAACCTCCTTCCTCAATGGTTCCACCATCCGTTCTGGTATCCTGTAAGGCTTAAGACGAAGAGGTTTTGTGTCTTTCAAGATGATGTTATGTGTTATGACATTTGTTCGCCCCGGTGTGTCTAAGAACAAAGATGGAAAGGATGCCTCACCTCGTTCAACTGTTGCCACTGATCTTCAGTCAGATATTCAGGAGGGTCTTCAGATTTGGGCATGCCTCTGAATGGGCTCATCTCAGCTTCTCCAACCTCCAGAATGCCACTGTCTTCAGGCCGAACATCTTGTACCATCAGGATTTGCTTCACACCTGGTTCTGGGGCGTTTCTTTCATGATACTCTTTTAACAAGTTTACATGTAGCAGTTGCTTTGATTTGTGTTTCTCTGGACAAATGACCTCATATGTCACTGGGCCGGTTTTTCTGGCCACAGTATAAGGTCCTTGCCACTTAGCCAGCAACTTACTTGGTCCAGTAGGCAAAAGTACCAAAACTTTTTGACCAGTCTTTAGTTCTCTCTCACAGGCATGCTTGTCATACCATACCTTTTGCTTTTGCTGCGCCTTCTGCATATGGTCTCTAACCTGTTCTCTGTATGTTTCCAGTTTGTCTCTCATCTGCAATATGTAGGAAATGATGTTCATCGTCGAAGCCACTTCAGTAGACCCCGGTGCCACTCCAGCCACCCAGTTCTCTTTCAGCATATCCAGGGGGCCTCTAACCTGCCTTCCATAGAGCAGCTCAAAAGGGGAGAAACCAGTTGAAGCCTGTGGTACTTCTCTGTATGCAAACAACAGAAAAGGCAACCATTTATCCCAACCTTTGCCAGTATCATCAATAAACTTTCTCAACATTTGCTTTAATGTACCATTAAATCGTTCCACCAGACCGTCCGTTTCTGGATGGTAGGGAGTAGTTCGAATACCTTTTACACCAAGTTGGTCATAAAGAGACTTTATCAAATGTGACATAAAACTGGTACCCTGATCTGTCAGGATCTCCTTTGGAACGCCAACTCTGGAAAAAAGGTCTACTAGGCATCGAACAATGTGTTTGACCTGCAGAGAGGGGTGGGGGGGGGGGGGGGGGGGGGGGGGGGGCGGGGGGGAACGCAGTGGATAAACATCTGGATATCTTGTGGCATAATCACAAATGACTAATGCATATTTATGACCACTACTGCTCTTAGGTAAAGGACCTATGATATCCATCGCTATTCTCTCATAAGGTACATCCATTATTGGTAATGTTTGCAACGGGGCTCTGTCTGAAATTTTGGTAGGAGCCACTTTCTGACATTCATGACATGTTTTGCAGTAGTCAACCACATCTTTGTACAATCCTGGCCAGTAAAAACGTTGAGCAACACGATTGTAAGTCTTTGCCTGTCCTAAATGTCCTGACCATGGTACAGTGTGGCCCAGATGCAGGATTACTGATCGGTACTCTTTTGGTACAACAAGTCTGGGTTTCTCCATGTCCGCTAGATACAGAAGTTTATCCTTTATTATGAAAGGTTCTCCAGTTACACTTTTAAGCCCTACATCATTTTCTTTTCCATCATCCACGTTGCATGCTTTCTTAAAGAGAGGTTTTAAAGATGAATCATTTTCCTGTCTTTCTCTAAAATTATTGGGAAACTCCCACTGAAGATCAATAGGTGGAGACATTGGTAAGGTTGGTTCTGGAAAGCTTGCCCTACCACTGTTTTTATTTTTCTCCTGCCTACGTTGTCGTTTTGTTTTCCTGAGTTTACTCCCTCCTTCAAATAAGTCTTCATCTACATCAGGCAGTGGTTCTAAACCCCTTTTCATTGAACGAGTGACAACAGCACAGGAATAGGCTTCAGAGTTATTATGAACCAAACTGTCTAAGATTGGTAAGTCTTCTCCCAAAATGACATCATATGCTAACTGATCCAACACTCCTACAGTTAACATAAATGCTTGGCCCTCAAGTTCAATAGTGACATCTGCTGTTGGATAATCTTTTTGACACCCATGAACACAAGTAATATTTACAGGTTTGTTAAAGTCAGGTAATACATTGCTCAACATAGAAGATTTAACCAAGGTTTGTGAGCTACCAGTGTCAGCAAGAGCCTTTACTGTTCGGCCATTTATTGAAACATCTACCACATGTTTATGTGGCACTAAACCATCACCAGTAAGTTCCCCCTCAAGACCTGTGGAGGGAACTACACACAACTCTACTGACTTTGGTTTTCTTAGGGGACATAAAGAAGCTTTATGACCAGGCTGCTGACAGTAATAGCAAATGAGGTTGTACCTTTGACTGCAATGTATAGGCTTCTTACCACCCCTAGTGTCCAAGCTTTCAACACTAGTCACCCCTGGAGGTTTTACCTCCCCAAACCTTGGTCTCCCCACAGTCATCTTTGACTTAGAAGGTTCACGATGAGCAGCTAGGTAACGTTCAGCCAGATCTGCAGCTTCCTCTCCTGTCTTTGGGTTGTTCTCTTTCACCCATGTGCGGACATCTGACTGCAGCACGCGAAGAAACTGTTCCAAAATAATGGTTTCACCGATCTCTTCTTTGCTCCGACTGTCAGGACGCATCCATCGCTTATAGAGTCCCTTTATCCGATTGTAGGTTTCACGCACACTCTCTCCCATGGGTACACTGGTGCTCCGGAACCGGTATCTGTAGGTCTCCTCTGTTACATTAAACTTGGATAACACAGCAGCTTTAATGGCCTCATAAGAGTCAGACTGTTCTTCATCCATGCCAGCATAAGCTTCAAGGGCTTTTCCAGTCAATAAGGTGACCACTCTAGCTGCCCATTCAACTTGTGGCCATCCCCACGTTTTAGCTATGCGTTCGAATCGTACAAAAAAACTTTCAGGATCCTCACCTTCCCTGAAGTCAGGTATTCTTGGCTCACCCCCACGGTGTGTTTCTGCTCTCTGCACTGGAGCAGGTTGAACGACATGCATTTGAGACTGTGCAGGCAGTGGTTGAGATGGAGAAGGCGGCTCAGCTTGGTGCTCAGTGGCTCCGTGAGGTGGCTGCACAGCTGATAGTGGAGGCAGTTTCCCAGCCTCTTGCTTTGGACAAACAGCTGCTGTAGAAATGTCACTCTGGACAGAAGGTTGAAGTTCAGAATGTTCAACATGTTGCAGCCTTGGTATATTGTCACTCAGTTGTTTTATCTGTTCAAACAGTATTGCTTCTGTTCTTTTGGAATGCCGCATAAATTCTCTAATTTCATCAAAGATATCCGGTTCAGAAAGTTCTTTACTCACGACACCAACTGCAGTCTGCTTCGGTCGTACTACTGGTTCAAAATCATCCTCATTAGCCATTGCTCCTTCAGGTGGTGGATCTGGCTCAATTGTTTGTCCACCTTCTCTTTCTTCCATGTCAGCAAGGGGGTTTTTCCTTGTCCAACGGTTTCTTCCACGTCCTACACCCCTCATTCAGCGTGTTCGGTCCCTCATTCACAGGCGTAACCAAATCCCACTGCTGCCACCAACTGTTACGCAGTGAGGGGTGGTGAGGGAAACATCAGACTTCACTCTATCTTAATTAAAGTAATTGTTTTATTATCTCTTGCCAACATCATATACATGCAGACAGCAACTTTTCAAAATGGCTCCCAATCCATTTCCTGCTCCCTTTAAATACTCTAAAGACACACCTTCTTAATACAGACTGGCCTATAAAAGAGCTGCAATTGAGGCAGGCTTCCTCTTTACTGGGAAAACAAGATGGCCACCACAAAGGTAACCTGCAACACTTTGTCTTACTCAAATGCTTCCCAACACTTTAATTGGAATGTTTCCGTTTCGTTTCTTTTTTTTTGTTGTCGCTCACAGTTCATGTGGTTTCTTTCTTTCTCTTGTCTTTCACTGCTGTGGTCACCTACTTCCCCACTCACCTACAAACAACACCCTCTATTTCTCCATATTTTCACAACACGATCACGCAAACACATCAGCTCAACGGCAGCACATTCACAACAGCCTCACAGCACGCACAGACTTGCAGGACACATAAGCAAACCACGCTTGTTCATATTAGTGAATATTCACACACATAGTCAGACTTATGGAGCCTCTCACCACACTTCTTTTTCTCTTTCTATTTACAAACAAGGGATGTTTCCATATTCTCTCCACCTGTCTAAACGAAACACCCAGCATACATCATTAGACATACACGCACAATTAAGGGCATGCTGAGGTTTGTCACATGGAATGTAAATGGAGCTGGCACCAGAGGAAAGAGGTTAAAAATATTTAACCAGCTTAAAAAACTACAGGCAGATGTTGTTTTATTACAAGAAACTCACAAACCTGTCACAGGTTTAAACGAACTTAAAACACCTGAGTTTCCTAACGTGTTTGCAGCCGGTTATAATTCTAGACAACGGGGAGTAGCAATTTTAATACATAAAAATGTTAATTTTACAGTACTCGATACAGTTATAGATCCAGAGGGTAGATTTCTAATTATTAAACTATCAATATTGAACAAAAAACTATGTATTGTTAGTATATATGGTCCAAATGTTGATGAACCCTCATTCTTCCACGGTTTTTTTAGTGCACTCTCTGAACACCTTGATTGCACACTCATTCTTGGCGGTGACCTCAACCTTGGACTAAATGAAGAAATGGATAGGCTCAACACAACAGGAACTCAGCGCAATTGGCAGTCCACAAATATAATCAAACAGTATATGAACGACTTTGGTCTTTGCGATGCATGGCGCTCTCTTCACCCCACCAGTAAGGAATATACTTTTTTCTCGCATGTTCATCACTCTTACTCTCGTCTGGATTATTTTTTGGTCAGCAGCTCACTGCTGTGTGACATTTCAGACACTGAGATTCATCCTATAGCTGTCAGCGATCATGCTCCTGTATCTTTAACACTAATGCACAAGAATAATACTACGCCAAGTAAAAACTGGAGATTTAATATATCACTACTTAAAGATGAAGACTTTATTAAATACTTTAAAAAGGAATGGACTTCATATTTAGACTTTAATGACACTCCCGGAATATCTGCTTCTGTTCTATGGGAAGCAGGGAAAGCTGTGATGAGAGGTAAAATAATTTCTTTCTCATCACACAAAAAGAAAGAAGAAAACAAAAATATTCAGGAATTAGAAAAAAACATCAAATCACTAGAAGAAGCCTACGCGTGCAACCAAGATCAGGAAACATTGAACAAAATATGCAAAACAAAACTAGAATTAAATGAAACTATTAATAAAAAAACACAATTCCTTATACAAAGACTTCGCTTGCAGAATTTTGAACACAGTAACAAATCAGGTCGATTTCTAGCTAACCAGCTAAAAATAAATAAAGAAAAAATAACTATATGTGCTGCTAAAGATTTATCGGGGAACACAATATATGATCCTGGAAGAATAAACAACATTTTTAGGGATTTCTATGAAACTTTATACTCACCACAAATAAACCCATCTAAAAATGAAATTGATCTGTTTCTTGACAACGTAACTCTTCCAAAATTACTAGACAGTCAAGCAATGGAACTGGATTCGCCACTGACGCCAAGTGAACTCCAGGAAGCCCTGATAAGTATGCCCAATAATAAGGCTCCAGGTCCAGACGGCTTCCCTGCAGAATTCTACAAAGAATTCTGGACAATTTTGGCACCAGTATTCCACGGAATGTTGCAGGAAATCGAGGAAAAGGGCAGACTACCACTCCCC